GGATCCCCGGCCAATCCCTCCTGAAAGGGGGCCGTGATGAAGATTTGTCTGCTTGCAGGAATCGGTTCCAGCTCGAAAGCGGATACGACAATCCCTCCTGAAAGGGGGCCGTGATGAAGGTTGTCCCGGCCAATCCCTCCTGAAAGGGGGCCGTGATGAAGGTTGTCCCGGCCAATCCCTCCTGAAAGGGGGCCGTGATGAAGGTTGTCTTGGGGATCTGCTTTTCGAGCTGGAATCCGGCATTCCAGCTCGAAAAGCGGATCCCCGGCCAATCCCTCCTGAAAGGGGGCCGTGATGAAAGCGGGCCGTGGAAGGTTGTCTTGGGGATCCGAGCTGGAATCCGGCATTCCAGCTCGAAAAGCGGATCCCCGGCCAATCCCTCCTGAAAGGGGGCCGTGATGAAGGTTGTCTTGGGGATCCGCTTTTCGAGCTGGAATCCGGCATTCCAGCTCGAAAAGCGGGCCTTAGAAATCCTTAGAAAGGAGCCTTAGAAAGGAGCCTTAGAAAGGAGCCTTAGAAAGGAGCCTTAGAAAGGAGCCGTAGAAAGGAGCCTTAGAAAGGAGCCTTAGAAAGGAGCCTTAGAAAGGAAGGAGCTTCCTACCCCTATACTTTTCCGCGTGTAGTGGCTTCACTTCCGTAAGCAGTGACAGTTTCACTTCCGTAAGCAGTGACACCTTTTCCGCTCAGAGTGATCATGATTCCGCAAGATGTGACAAGTCTTCTTGCGGAGCGGTACATGCTGGAAAAATGGGCGACTGTACAGCTCAGCTAGAACAGTGGGAAGCGCCCTTCCTTTAGCTGATCAAGTTTACGGCAATTGACTGCGGAGTCCAACGCGATTTCAACCCAAACCGACAGGTTCTCCAAATTATGTTTGGGTTCCCTTAATCCACCATCTAGAGAATCGCTTTTCACGGTGTCACTTTAATGAAGCCAGTTGCAAAAAAGCTACACATATGGCAAATATTAATATTCGAATGCATGCCAACTAACTATGCCTACATTCATATGTCGTCGTATATATGTATATATATATATATATATATTTGAACGCGTGCCAGCCCCATGGCTGAGTGCGTCGCGATACCGTGTCCCACACTTCGGCAGGCCACGTGCTGTACAAATACAAAACGGACGGCCCTTGCCCTCGGCCATTTGCCGGATCCGCCCATCTATTGGGGGCTCTGTACAGGAAGCGTCCGGCATGCGGCACGATGAGTCAAACTCGAGCCGAAAACTGATTGTGTGTGTGTGTGTGTGATCATGTTCCAGAAAACACACGCATCCTGCAAAATCCGAAGTCCAGCTGTTGGGCCCTTCGAAACACGCAACTCCTCGCGCGAAGCGCGCGAATATGCAACGCCTCGCGGGGCGCCCTAGACTCGTTTTCTTCCGCCTCAAAAGGCCAGGACTGCGAACTCCACGATGCCTGTGGTCTTCGGCCGCCGCACGGGTCGCGCAACCATCATCTCGTCCTCGTCCTCTTCCACCTCCAAGAAGGTCCGGCGCACTACCACCCGGTGCGAAGGCAGCGCTTTCTTCAGGCTCTTCGGTTCTGCTGACGCGACGTCCACGACGCGCGGCTGCACGTCCGCATGGAAGCTCGGAGCGGTGGATCCGCCATTGGCCCTGCGGTAGGCCTTCTTCTGCAGCAGGAAAGCCTCAACGAAGCGGTCCTTCACTGCCTCCCACTCCTTGCACGGGTTGGCAATTTGCGCCTGTAGCCCCCACAAAGAATATTCAAATCAATTGAAAGGGGACATGAGAAGCGGCTTGGTGCCCTTTGGTTAGGGGTACAACCCCGTCCTTGCGCGCCACCACGCACTGGTAGGGCACCAGTCGCTGCCCGTCCAAGGCATTGTAGGCCGCCAGTTCCAAACCCAGGCGAGAGGCGAAGGTTCGCACGTAGTCCGACACGCAGAAGCGGGTGCCTTCCAGGGCTGCGCAATGCTCAAAGCATGGTTTAGACTCCACCTTTAGGGAACCTCCTTCCTTCAAAACGATTTGATGGTTGAAACAATGGAAGATTAACAACCTCCTTTTGGCTTTCAATTGAAGGAATCGGGCCAAGGGGTAGTCAAACATGGCTGAAACCATGCAGGGCTCTTCGTTGAATCAGCTTTTTGCACGCGGCACCTTCTCCGCAGCCGTTCGGGGCCATGTCTGGGTTGAAGCGCGTCCAGTGCTCCAAGCCCGCGCTCTGCCCGGCACTGATGGACACCGTCGCCTAATCGGAAGCCGGGCGAATCAGCCCCCTTGTTCAAATTGGCTTGGAAAGTAATACAAACAACTTGTTTAACCACGTGGGGTTCCCAAACCCGGGGTTGATCGTTTCGGGTTTAAACCCGACCTCCATGGTCGCGCCGGTTGGGACCAGCGGCAGCCCACGCCGGCAGGACTGGACGGGGAGCACCGTGTAGCCCCGGGCCTGTGCTATGGATGCGGACAAGGCCGCCCTTCTTTTGCGGGAATCGTTCTCCCGCGTTTGTGGAATGATTTTGCTGGGTCCATTTCAGGGTTGGTGATACCAACATGTCAAGGGGAATTCCCAGGACAACTTTGTCATTTATGGGATTGCCCTGGCCACTATGCCACTCACAGAAAGCGGCGACCTAAAATATTCCTTGATATCAAACCAATCCAAGGAAACCAAAACCCTTCACCAAGTTGCTACCCAGTGTGCGTTGGTCATCTTTTAGGAACTCGGAGCAACCCTGCCTGGAACTGCTCGAGGGTGCGAGCCACAGCCATGGTGAGTCCAAGTCAAAGGATCTTTACACAGAGGCGGTCACTCGCTTGAGCCAACAGTTACATACCACAATTTCTCTTACGGGGCGGTGTGAGTCGACCAGCAAAATTCCATGGGGGTCCTGGCAACTTACAGAACATAATCTCAGAGAATGGGGAACTCAGCCCTAGAACCAAAGCAAAATGAACTTCTGAGGGTCTGAGTCCCTCTCTTGCGGAGCGGTACATGCTGGAAAAATGGGCGACTGTACTCAGCTAGAACAGTAGGAAGCGCCGTTCCTCGCCTGGCTGCGGAGTCCAACTTCAACCCAAACCGACAGGTTCTCCAAATTATGTTTGGGTGTGGTGTCCTGCAAACTACTATCTCGAGAATCGCTTTTCAGGGTGTCACTTTAATGAAGCCAGTTGCAAAAAGGCTACACACTCGGCACATATTCATGTTTGAATGCCTGCCAACTAGCTATGTGTATATTCAAATGTAAATGTGTATGTGCATATATATATACATATGTATATATATATATATATGTACGTGAATAGATATATATATATATATATATGAATATATATATATATATTTATTTGAACGCGTGCCAGCCCCATGGCTGAGTGCGTCGCGATACCGTGTGCCACACTTCGGCAGGCCACGTGCTGTACAAATACAAAACGGACGGCCCTCGCCCTCGGCCATTTGCCGGATCCGCCCATCTATTGGGGGCTCTGTACAGGAAACGTCCGGCATGCGGCACGATGAGTCAAATTCGAGCCGAAAACTCATTGTGTCTGTGTGTGATCATGTTCCAGAAAACAAAGGCATCCTGCAAAATCCGAAGGCAGCTTTTGGGCCCTTCGAAACACGCAACTCCTTTCGCGAAGCGCGCGAATATGCAACGCCTCGCGCAGGGCGCCCTAAACTCGTTTTCTTCCGCCTCAAAAGGCCAGGACTGCGAACTCCACGATGCCTGTGGTCTTCGGCCGCCGCACGGGCCGCGCAACCATCATCTCGTCCTCGTCCTCTTCCACCTCCAAGAAGGTCCGGCGCACTACCACCCGGTGCGAAGGCAGCGCTTTCTTCAGGCTCTTCGGTTCTGCTGACGCGACGTCCACGACGCGCGGCTGCACGTCCGCATGGAAGCTCGGGGCGGTGGATCCGCCATTGGCCCTGCGGTAGGCCTTCTTCTGCAGCAGGAAAGCCTCAACGAAGCGATCCTTCACTGCCTCCCACTCCTTGCACGGGTTGGCAATTTGCGCCTGTAGCCCCCACAAAGAATCACCCGGAAAAAAGGAACTGAAAAGCTGTTCGGTGCCCCTTGCACGTTAAGAAAATCCATGTCCTTGCGCGCCACCACGCACTGGTAGGGCACCAGCCGCTGCCCGTCCATGGCATTGTAGGCCGCCAGTTCCAAACCCAGGCGAGAGGCGAAGGTTCGCACGTAGTCCGACACGCAGAAGCGGGTGCCTTCCAGGGCTGCGCAATGCTCAAAGCATGGTTTAGACTCCACCTTTAGGGAACCTCCTTCCTTCAAAAGGATTTGATGGTTGAAACAATGGAAGATTAACAACCTCCTTTTGGCTTTCAATTGAAGGAATCGGGCCAAGGGGTAGTCAAACATGGCTGAAACCATGCAGGGCTCTTCGTTGAATCAGCTTTTTGCACGCGGCACCTTCTCCGCAGCCGTTCGGGGCCATGTCTGGGTTGAAGCGCGTCCAGTGCTCCAAGCCCGCGCTCTGCCCTGCGCTGATGGACACCGTCGCCTAATCGGAAGTCGGGCGAATCAGCCCCCTTGTTCAAATTGGCTTGGAAAGTATTTACATACAAATTGTTTAACCACCTGGGGTTCCCAAACCCGGGGTTGATCGTTTTGGGTTTAAACCCGACCTCCATGGTCGCGTCGGTTGGGACCAGCGGCAGCCCACGCCGGCAGGACTGGACGGTGAGCACCGTGTAGCCCCGGGCCTGTGCTATGGATGCGGACAAGGCCGCCCTTCTTTTGCGGGAATCGTTCTCCCGCGTTTGTGGAATGATTTTGCTGGGTCCATTTCAGGGTTGGGGGATTCCCAGGACTACTTTATCACTTATGGGTTTGCCCTGGCCGCTACTCACAGAAAGTAGCAACCTAAAATGTGCCCGCACTTGATCTCAAACCAATCCACCAACTTGCTACCCAGCGTGCGTTGGTCATCTTTTAGGAACTCGGAGCAACCCTGCCTGGAACTGCTCGAGGGTGCGAGCCACAGCCATGGTGAGTCCAAGTCAAAGGATCTTTACACAGAGGCGGTCACTCGCTTGAGCCAACAGTTACATACCTTACGGGGTGGTGTGATTCGACCAGCCAAATTCCATGGGGGTCCTGGCAACTTGCAGAACATAATCTCAGAGAATGGGGAACTCAGCCCTAGAACCAAAGTAAAATGAACTTCTGAGGGTCTGAGTCCCTCTCTTGCGGAGCGGTACATGCTGGAAAAATGGGCGACTGTACAGCTCAGCTAGAACAGTGGGAAGCGCCCTTCCTTTAGCTGATCAAGTTTACGGCAATTGACTGCGGAGTCCAACGCGATTTCAACCCAAACCGACAGGTTCTCAAAATTCTGTTTGGGTTCCCTTAATCCACCATCTAGAGAATCGCTTTTCACGGTGTCACTTTAATGAAGCCAGTTGCAAAAAAACTACACATATGGCAAATATTAATATTCGAATGCATGCCAACTAACTATGCCAATATTCATATGTCGTCGTATATATGTATATAGATGTGTATATATATATATATATATATATTTGAACGCGTGCCAGCCCCATGGCTGAGTGCGTCGCGATACCGTGTGCCACACTTCGGCAGGCCACGTGCTGTACAAATACAAAACGGACGGCCCTCGCCCTCGGCCATTTGCCGGATCCGCCCATCTATTGGGGGCTCTGTACAGGAAGCGTCCGGCATGCGGCACGATGAGTCAAAGTCAAGCCGAAAACTGATTGTGTGTGTGTGATCATGTTCCAGAAAACACACGCATCCTGCAAAATCCGAAGGCCAGCTTTTGGGCCCTTCGAAACACGCAACTCCTTTCGCGAAGCGCGCGAATATGCAACGCCTCGCGCAGGGCATCTCATTTTCTTCCGCCTCAAAAGGCCAGGACTGCGAACTCCACGATGCCTGTGGTCTTCGGCCGCCGCACGGGCCGCGCAACCATCATCTCGTCCTCGTCCTCTTCCACCTCCAAGAAGGTCCGGCGCACTACCACCCGGTGCGAAGGCAGCGCTTTCTTCAGGCTCTTCGGTTCTGCTGACGCGACGTCCACGACGCGCGGCTGCACGTCCGCATGGAAGCTCGGGGCGGTGGATCCGCCATTGGCCCTGCGGTAGGCCTTCTTCTGCAGCAGGAAAGCCTCAACGAAGCGGTCCTTCACTGCCTCCCACTCCTTGCACGGGTTGGCAATTTGCGCCTGTAGCCCCCACAAAGAATCACCCGGAAAAAAGGAACTGAAAAGCTGTTCGGTGCCCCTTGCACGTTAAGAAAATCCCTGTCCTTGCGCGCCACCACGCACTGGTAGGGCACCAGCCGCTGGCCGTCCATGGCATTGTAGGCCGCCAGCTCCAAACCCAGGCGAGAGGCGAAGGTTCGCACGTAGTCCGACACGCAGAAGCGGGTGCCTTCCAGGGCTGCGCAATGCTCAAAGCATGGTTTAGACTCCACCTATAGGGAACGGCTTCCTTCAAAAGGATTTGTTGGTTGAAACAATGGAAGATGAACAACCTCCGGCAGTCAAACATGGCTGAACCATGAAGGGCTGGTCGTTGAATCAACTTTTTGCACCCGGCGCCTTCTCCGCAGCCGTTCGGGGCCATATCTGGGCTGAAGCGCGTCCAGTGCTCCAAGCCCGCGCTCTGCCCTGCGCTGATGGACACCGTCGCCTAGTCGGAAGTCGGGCGAATCAGCCCCCTTGTTCAAATTGGCTTGGAAAGTATTTACATACAAATTGCTTAACCACGTGGGCTTCACAAACCAGGGGTTGATCGTTGCGGGTGTTTTTGCTACCCCGACCTCCATGGTCGCGTCGGTTGGGACCAGCGGCAGCCCACGCCGGCAGGACTGGACGGTGAGCACCGTGTAGCCCCGGGCCTGTGCTATGGATGCGGACAAGGCCGCCCTTCTTTTGCGGGAATCGTTCTCCCGCGTTTGTGGAATGATTTTGCTGGGTCCATTTCAGGGTTGGTGATACCAACATGTCAAGGGGGATTCCCAGGACTACTTTGTCATTTATGGGATTGCCCTGGCCACTATGCCACTCACAGAAAGCGGCGACCTAAAATATTCCCTTGATATCAAACCAATCCAAGGAAACCAAAACCCTTCACCAAGTTGCTACCCAGTGTGCGTTGGTCATCTTTTAGGAACTCGGAGCAACCCTGCCTGGAACTGCTCGAGGGTGCGAGCCACAGCCATGGTGAGTCCAAGTCAAAGGATCTTTACACAGAGGCGGTCACTTGCTTGAGCCCACAGTTACATACCGCAATTTCTCTTACTGGGTGGGGTGTTTCGACCAGCCAAATTCCATGGGGGTCCCGGCAACTTGCAGAACATAATCTCAGAGAATGGCGGACCCACCCAGAACCAAAGTAAAATGAACTTCTGAGGGACTGAATCTTGTTTGGGGGAGCGGAACGTGCTGGAAAATTATGTTTGGGTGTGGTGTCCCGTAAACTACTATCTCGAGAATCGCTTTTCAGGGTATCACTTTAATGAAGCCAGTTGCAAAAAAGCTACACACTTGGCACATATTCATGTTTGAATGCCTGCCAACTAGCTATGTGTATATTCATATGTAAATGTATATATATATATGTATGAGAATAGATAAATATATATATATATATATATGTGAATATATATATATATATGTATAGATAGATATGTGTGTCTCCGTATTTGAACGCGTGCCAGCCCCATGGCTGACTGCGTCGCGATACCGTGTGCCACACTTCGGCAGGCCACGTGCTGTACAAATACAAAACGGACGGCCCTCGCCCTCGGCCATTTGCCGGATCCGCCCATCTATTGGGGGCTCTGTACAGGAAACGTCCGGCATGCGGCACGATGAGTCAAATTCGAGCCGAAAACTGATTGTGTGTGTGTGTGATCATGTTCCAGAAAACACACGCATCCTGCAAAATCCGAAGGCCAGCTTTTGGGCCCTTCGAAACACGCAACTCCTCGCGCGAAGCGCGCGAATATGCAACGCCTCGCGCAGGGCAACTCGTTTTCTTCCGCCTCAAAAGGCCAGGACTGCGAACTCCACGATGCCTGTGGTCTTCGGCCGCCGCACGGGCCGCGCAACCATCATCTCGTCCTCGTCCTCTTCCACCTCCAAGAAGGTCCGGCGCACTACCACCCGGTGCGAAGGCAGCGCTTTCTTCAGGCTCTTCGGTTCTGCTGACGCGACGTCCACGACGCGCGGCTGCACGTCCGCATGGAAGCTCGGGGCGGTGGATCCGCCATTGGCCCTGCGGTAGGCCTTCTTCTGCAGCAGGAAAGCCTCAACGAAGCGGTCCTTCACTGCCTCCCACTCCTTGCACGGGTTGGCAATTTGCGCATGTAGCCCCCACAAAGAATCACCCGGAAAAAAGGAACTGAAAAGCTGTTCGGTGCCCCTTGCACGTTAAGAAAATCCCTGTCCTTGCGCGCCACCACGCACTGGTAGGGCACCAGTCGCTGCCCGTCCAACGCATTGTAGGCCGCCAGTTCCAAACCCAGGCGAGAGGCGAAGGTTCGCACGTAGTCCGACACGCAGAAGCGGGTGCCTTCCAGGGCTGCGCAATGCTCAAGGCATGGTTTGGGAACCTCCTTTGGGCTTCCTTCAAAAGGATGTGTTGGTTGAAACAATGGAAGATTAACAACCTCCTTTTGGCTTTCAATGGAAGGAATCGGACCAAGGGGTAGTCAAACATGGCTGAACCATGCAGGGCTGGTCGTTGAATCAGCTTTTTGCAGTTCGGGGCCATGTCTGGGCTGAAGCGCGTCCAGTGCTCCAAGCCCGCGCTCTGCCCGGCACTGATGGACACCGTCGCCTAATCGGAAGCCGGGCGAATCAGCCCCCTTGTTCAAATTGGCTTGGAAAGTATTTACATACAAACTGCTTAACCACGTGGGCTTCACAAACCAGGGGTTGATCGTTTCGGGTGCTTTTGTTACCCGACCTCCATGGTCGCGTCGGTTGGGACCAGCGGCAGCCCACGCCGGCAGGACTGGACGGTGAGCACCGTGTAGCCCCGGGCCTGTGCTAGGATGCGGACAAGGCCGCCCTTCTTTTGCGGGAATCGTTCTCCCGCGTTTGTGGAATGATTTTGCTGGGTCCATTTCAGGGTTGGTGATACCAACATGTCAAGGGGGATTCCCAGGACTACTTTGTCATTTATGGGATTGCCCTGGCCACTATGCCACTCACAGAAAGCGGCGACCTAAAATATTCCCTTGATATCAAACCAATCCAAGGAAACCAAAACCCTTCACCAAGTTGCTACCCAGTGTGCGTTGGCCATCTTTTAGGAACTCGGAGCAACCCTGCCTGGAACTGCTCGAGGGTGCGAGCCACAGCCATGGAGAGTCCAAGTAAAAGGATCTTTACACAGAGGCGGTCACTCGCTTGAGCCAACAGTTACATACCACAATTTCTCTTACGGGGCGGTGTGAGTCGACCAGCCAAATTTCGAGAATGGGGAACTCAGCCCTAGAACCAAAGTAAAATGAACTTCTGAGGGTCTGAGTCCCTCTCTTGCGGAGCGGTACATGCTGGAAAAATGGGCGACTGTACTCAGCTAGAACAGTAGGAAGCGTTCAGGGTGTCACTTTAATGAAGCCAGTTGCACAAAGGCTACACACTTGGCACATGTTCATGGGGAACTCAGCCCTAGAACCAAAGTAAAATGAACTTCTGAGGGTCTGAGTCCCTCTCTTGCGGAGCGGTACATGCTGGAAAAATGGGCGACTGTACTCAGCTAGAACAGTAGGAAGCGCCGTTTCTTGCCTGGCTGCGGAGTCCAACACGATTTCAACCCAAACCGACAGGTTCTCCAAATTATGTTTGGGTGTGGTGTCCTGCAAAACTACTATCTCGAGAATCGCTTTTCAGGGTGTCACTTTAATGAAGCCAGTTGCACAAAGGCTACACACTTGGCACATATTCATGTTTGAATGCCTGCCAACTAGCTATGTGTATATTCATATGTAAATGTATATATATGTATGAGATAGATATATATATATATATACATGGTACAGCGTTGCCAGCCCCCCCCCCCCCCACCAATCATGGGTCAGACAAGTACCCCCCCCCCTGTGGTTGTGGTCCTGTGGTTGGGTTGTGGTGGTTTAGAGTTGGTTTAGAATTGGTTTGTAGGGTATATTTAGGGTGTATTTAGGGTTAGTTTAGGGTTGGTTTAGGGTTGGTTTATGTTGATTTAGGGTTGGTTTAGGGTTGGTTTAGGTTTACGGTTTAGGGTTTGGTTTAGGGTGTATTTAGGGTTGGTTTAGGGTTAGTTTAGGGTTGGTTTAGGGTTGGCTTAGGTTTAGGGTTTATTGTTTAGGGATTGGTTTAGGGTGCATTTTGGGGTTAGTTTAGGGTTGGTTTAGGGTTAGTTTACGGTTGGTTTATGTTGATTTAGGGTTGGTTTAGGTTTAGAGGTCTACGGTTTAGGGTTTGGTTTAGGGGGTATTTAGGGTTCGTTTAGGGTTAGTTTAGGGTTGGTTTATGGTTGGTTGCGGGTTGGGCTGTCCTGGGGGTGGGGGTGTCGGGGTGACGGGGTGTCGGGGTGTCGGGGTGCGAGTTCAGGGGGTCGGGGTGGGGGTGGGACCGTAGGTGACAGGATCCGGGGGCTCGGGGTCTCGGGCCGGGGGCGGGGGGGGGGTCCTGGGGGACCCATACCATATGGGGGGGGGGGGGTAGCAACACGGAACACGGGACCATATATATATATATGTATATATATATATATGTATATATGTTAATATATATATATATATATATATATATGTGTCTCCGTATTTGAACGCGTGTCAGCCCCATGGCTGACTGCGTCGCGATACCGTGTGCCACACTTCGGCAGGCCACGTGCTGTACAAATACAAAACGGACGGCCCTCGCCCTCGGCCATTTGCCGGATCCGCCCATCTATTGGGGGCTCTGTACAGGAAACGTCCGGCATGCGGCACGATGAGTCAAATTCGAGCCGAAAACTGATTGTGTGGGTGTGTGTGATCATGTTCCAGAAAACACACGCATCCTGCAAAATCCGAAGGCCAGCTTTTGGGCCCTTCGAAACACGCAACTCCTCGCGCGAAGCGCGCGAATATGCAACGCCTCGCGCAGGGCATCTCATTTTCTTCCGCCTCAAAAGGCCAGGACTGCGAACTCCACGATGCCTGTGGTCTTCGGCCGCCGCACGGGCCGCGCAACCATCATCTCGTCCTCGTCCTCTTCCACCTCCAAGAAGGTCCGGCGCACTACCACCCGGTGCGAAGGCAGCGCTTTCTTCAGGCTCTTCGGTTCTGCTGACGCGACGTCCACGACGCGCGGCTGCACGTCCGCATGGAAGCTCGGGGCGGTGGATCCGCCATTGGCCCTGCGGTAGGCCTTCTTCTGCAGCAGGAAAGCCTCAACGAAGCGATCCTTCACTGCCTCCCACTCCTTGCACGGGTTGGCAATTTGCGCCTGTAGCCCCCACAAAGAATCACCCGGAAAAAAGGAACTGAAAAGCTGTTCGGTGCCCCTTGCACGTTAAGAAAATCCCTGTCCTTGCGCGCCACCACGCACTGGTAGGGCACCAGCCGCTGGCCGTCCATGGCATTGTAGGCCGCCAGCTCCAAACCCAGGCGAGAGGCGAAGGTTCGCACGTAGTCCGACACGCAGAAGCGGGTGCCTTCCAGGGCTGCGCAATGCTCAAAGCATGGTTTAGACTCCACCTATAGGGAACCTCTTTTGGGCTTCCTTCAAAAGGATTTGTTGGTTGAAACAATGGAAGATGAACAACCTCCGGCAGTCAAACATGGCTGAACCATGCAGGGCTGGTCGTTGAATCAACTTTTTGCACCCGGCGCCTTCTCCGCAGCCGTTCGGGGCCATATCTGGGCCGAAGCGCGTCCAGTGCTCCAAGCCCGCGCTCTGCCCTGTGCTGATGGACACCGTCGCCTAGTCGGAAGTCGGGCGAATCAGCCCCCTTGTTCAAATTGGAATGGAAAGTATTTACATACAAAATGCTCAACCACGTGGGCTTCACAAACCAGGGGTTGATCGTTTCGGGTGCTTTTGTTACCCGACCTCCATGGTCGCGTCGGTTGGGACCAGCGGCAGCCCACGCCGGCAGGACTGGACGGTGAGCACCGTGTAGCCCCGGGCCTGTGCTATGGATGCGGACAAGGCCGCCCTTCTTTTGCGGGAATCGTTCTCCCGCGTTTGTGGAATGATTTTGCTGGGTCCATTTCAGGGTTGGTGATACCAACATGTCAAGGGGGATTCCCAGGACTACTTTGTCATTTATGGGATTGCCCTGGCCACTATGCCACTCACAGAAAGCGGCGACCTAAAATATTCCCTTGATATCAAACCAATCCAAGGAAACCAAAACCCTTCACCAAGTTGCTACCCAGTGTGCGTTGGTCATCTTTTAGGAACTCGGAGCAACCCTGCCTGGAGCTGCTCGAGGGTGCGAGCCACAGCCATGGTGAGTCCAAGTCAAAGGATCTTTACACAGAGGCGGTCACTTGCTTGAGCCCACAGTTACATACCGCAATTTCTCTTACTGGGTGGGGTGTTTCGACCAGCCAAATTCCATGGGGGTCCCGGCAACTTGCAGAACATAATCTCAGAGAATGGCGGACCCACCCAGAACCAAAGTAAAATGAACTTCTGAGGGGCTGAATCTTGTTTGGGGGAGCGGAACGTGCTGGAAAAATTGGCGACTGTACGCAGCTAGAACAGTAGGAAGCGCCGTTCCTTGCCTGGCTGCGGAGTCCAACACGATTTCAACCCAAACCGACAGGTTCTCCAAATTATGTTTGGGTGTGGTGTCCCGTAAACTACTATCTCGAGAATCGCTTTTCAGGGTGTCACTTTAATGAAGCCAGTTGCAAAAAGGCTACGCACTTGGCACATATTCATGTTTGAATGCCTGCCAACTAGCTATGTGTATATTTATATGTAAATGTATATATATATATAGGTATGAGAATAGATATATATATATATGTTTATATGTGAATTTGTATATAGAGAGAGATATGTGTGTCTCCGTATTTGAACGCGTGCCATGGCTGACTGCGTCGCGATACCGTGTGCCACACTTCGGCAGGCCACGTGCTGTACAAATACAAAACGGACGGCCCTCGCCCTCGGCCATTTGCCGGATCCGCCCATCTATTGGGGGCTCTGTACAGGAAACGTCCGGCATGCGGCACGATGAGTCAAATTCGAGCCGAAAACTGATTGTGTGTGTGTGTGATCATGTTCCAGAAAACACACGCATCCTGCAAAATCCGAAGGCCAGCTTTTGGGCCCTTCGAAACACGCAACTCCTCGCGCGAAGCGCGCGAATATGCAACGCCTCGCGCAGGGCAACTCGTTTTCTTCCGCCTCAAAAGGCCAGGACTGCGAACTCCACGATGCCTGTGGTCTTCGGCCGCCGCACGGGCCGCGCAACCATCATCTCGTCCTCGTCCTCTTCCACCTCCAAGAAGGTCCGGCGCACTACCACCCGGTTGATCGTTTCGGGGTGCTTTGCGGTGTTACCCGACCTTCCTGCACTGGGGTCGCGCCGGTCGCGTTGGGACCAGCACTGGCACCAGCCGCACGCCGGCTCCAAGGCAGAGGCTGGACGGGTGCAGCACCGTGTAGCCCCGGGCCTGTGCTATGGATGCGGACAAGGCCGCCCTTCTTTTGCGGGAATCGTTCTCCCGCGTTTGTGGAATGATTTTGCTGGGTCCATTTCAGGGTTGGTGATACCAACATGTCAAGGGGAATTCCCAGGACAACTTTGTCATTTATGGGATTGCCCTGGCCACTATGCCACTCACAGAAAGCGGCGACCTAAAATATTCCTTGATATCAAACCAATCCAAGGAAACCAAAACCCTTCACCAAGTTGCTACCCAGTGTGCGTTGGTCATCTTTTAGGAACTCGGAGCAACCCTGCCTGGAGCTGCTCGAGGGTGCGAGCCACAGCCATGGTGAGTCCAAGTCAAAGGATCTTTACACAGAGGCGGTCACTTGCTTGAGCCCACAGTTACATACCGCAATTTCTCTTACTGGGTGGGGTGTTTCGACCAGCCAAATTCCATCGGGGTCCCGGCAACTTGCAGAACATAATCTCAGAGAATGGCGGACCCACCCAGAACCAAAGTAAAATGAACTTCTGAGGGGCTGAATCTTGTTTGGGGGAGCGGAACGTGCTGGAAAAATTGGCGACTGTACGCAGCTAGAACAGTAGGAAGCGCCGTTCCTTGCCTGGCTGGGGAGTCCAACACGATTTCAACCCAAACCGACAGGTTCTCCAAATTATGTTTGGGTGTGGTGTCCCGTAAACTACTATCTCGAGAATCGCTTTTCAGGGTGTCACTTTAATGAAGCCAGTTGCAAAAAGGCTACACACTTGGCACATATTCATGTTTGAATGCCTGCCAACTAGCTATGTGTATATTCATATGTAAATGTATATATATATATATATGTATGAGAATAGATATATATATATATATATATGTAGATAATAGATATGTGAATATATATATATAGAGAGATATGTGTGTCTCCGTATTTGAACGCGTGCCATGGCTGACGCGCGCGATACTGCAGCCACACTGCAGGCCACGTGCTGCACAAATACAAACGGACGGCTCTCGCTCGGCCATTGCCGGATCCGCCCATCTATTGGGGGCTCTGTACAGGAAACGTCCGGCATGCGGCACGATGAGTCACCCGAGCGAAAAACTGATTGTGTGTGATCATATGTTCCAGAAAACACACGCATCCTGCAAAATCCCGAAGGCCAGCTAGTCTTCGAAACACGCAACTCCTCGCGCCAGCTGCGAATATAACGCCTCGCGCAGGGCATCTCATTTTCTTCCGCCTCAAAGGCCAGACTGCGAACCCACTGACGTGCCTGTGGTTCCCGGCGCCGCACGGCCGCAACCATCATCTTCGTCCGTCCCTCTTCCACCTGGTCCGGCGCACTACCACCCGGTGCGAAGGCAGCGCTTTCTTCAGGCTCTTCGGTTCTGCTGACGCGACGTCCACGACGCGCGGCTGCACGTCCGCATGGAAGCTCGGGGCGGTGGATCCGCCATTGGCCCTGCGGTAGGCCTTCTTCTGCAGCAGGAAAGCCTCAACGAAGCGGTCCTTCACTGCCTCCCACTCCTTGCACGGGTTGGCAATTTGCGCCGGTAGCCCCCACAAAGAATCACCCGGAAAAAAGGAACTGAAAAGCTGTTCGGTGCCCCTTGCACGTTAAGAAAATCCCTGTCCTTGCGCGCCACCACGCACTGGTAGGGCACCAGCCGCTGGCCGTCCAAGGCATTGTAGGCCGCCAGCTCCAAACCCAGGCGAGAGGCGAAGGTTCGCACGTAGTCCGACACGCAGAAGCGGGTGCCTTCCAGGGCTGCGCAATGCTCAAAGCATGGTTTAGACTCCACCTTTAGGGAACCTCCTTTGGGCTTCCTTCAAAAGGATTTGTTGGTTGAAACAATGGAAGATGAACAACCTCCGGCAGTCAAACATGGCTGAACCATGCAGGGCTGGTCGTTGAATCAACTTTTTGCACCCGGCGCCTTCTCCGCAGCCGCTCGGGGCCATATCTGGGCTGAAGCGCGTCCAGTGCTCCAAGCCCAAGCTCTGCCCGGCACTGATGGACACCGTCGCCTAAGCGGGAGCCGGGCGAATCAGCTTGGTTCAAATTGGATTGAAAAGCAATACAAACAACTTGTTTAACCACGTGGGCTTCTCAAACCCGGGGTTGATCGTTTCGGGTTTAAGCCCGACCTCCGTGGTCGCGTCGGTTGGGACCAGCGGCAGCCCACGCCGGCAGGACTGGACGGTGAGCACCGTGTAGCCCCGGGCCTGTGCTATGGTTGGTGGCAAACCCACCCTTTCTGTGGTGCAAAGGGGACTCCCATGAACACATGATCACTTAGGAGTCTCTCTGCACTCACAGAAAGTGGCAGCGTGAAATGGTTCCTTGATATCAAACCAATCCAAGGAAACCAAAACCCTTCACCAAGTTGCTACCCAGAACAACTCGGAGCAACCCTGCCTGGAACTGCTCGAGGGTGCGAGCCACAGCCATGGTGAGTCCAAGTCAAAGGATCTTTACACAGAGGCGGACACTTGCTTGAGCCAACAGTTACTTACCGCAATTTATCTTACTGGGTGGTGGTGTGAGAAGTGAACGTCCTCTTGCACCGGGCACACATGGGATGCGTGGCAAGCATTCAATTTATTCCAGTACCCGAAACCCAGACTGATCAACCGGTGTGAACCTTTTGCCTCAGATGAGGGTGCATTGACCCCTGCTCACGCAGTGTATTGTTTACTTCACCATATTCTCAAGGAGATTGCCTTATTAGACTGCTCTCCATGCGAACCCTAGAAAGCCCCCAACGGAAGGGCGCAAGGATCTCCTGCCTGAAGCCCTGCAAGCAAAAAGGAGTTGACCCGTTCAAGCCACCAAAAGGTGGTAACCAACAGATCAGCCACCTCTCCCAACAGGTGCCCTAAGAGGGCCCCCTGTTCATGGGGAGTCCAACAAAAAAGAACCCGGAGGCGAGTCGCTGGGGAGCGAACTGGAGGCCCGGAAGCGAGACGCCGCTCGCGCCTCGGAGGCTTCCCAATTGAAGATGGGGGACCGCAGCTCTGCGGACCCGTGGGCGAACTTGCAGTTGGGCTCATTGCACCTCCTGGGGTCCAAGAAGCAGCAGCAGCAGTCGCAGTAGCAAATACATATAAGACATGTGTATATATATATATGTATATATATGTATACACACACACACACACAACCTAGGTCGTGCCCCCCCTCCCTCTCTTCCCCCCTCCTGTGGGGGGGGGTGGGGTGGTGGTGGGGGTTGTGGGGTGGTGGTTGTGGTTAAGCACCCCCCCTCCTGTGGGTGGTTACACAGAGGCGGACACTTGCTTGAGCCAACAGTTACTTACCGCAATTTATCTTACTGGGTGGTGGTGTGAGAAGTGAACGTCCTCTTGCACCGGGCACACATGGGATGCGTGGCAAGCATTCAATTTATTCCAGTACCCGAAACCCAGACTGATCAACCGGTGTGAACCTTTTGCCTCAGATGAGGGTGCATTGACCCCTGCTCACGCAGTGTATTGTTTACTTCACCATATTCTCAAGGAGATTGCCTTATTAGACTGCTCTCCATGCGAACCCTAGAAAGCCCCCAACGGAAGGGCGCAAGGATCTCCTGCCTGAAGCCCTGCAAGCAAAAAGGAGTTGACCCGTTCAAGCCACCAAAAGGTGGTAACCAACAGATCAGCCACCTCTCCCAACAGGTGCCCTAAGAGGGCCCCCTGTTCATGGGGAGTCCAACAAAAAAGGGAGGCGAGTCGCTGGGTGGTGGGGTGGATGGGGTTGGTTTAGGCTGGTTTGGGTGTAGGGTGGTGGTGGTGGGTGGGGTGGTGGTGGGGTTGTGGGGTGGTGGTTGTGGTTGGGCCAACCCCCCCCCCCCTGTGGGGGGTGGGGTGGGTGGTGGGGTGGTGGGGTGGTGGGGTGGTGGGGTGGTGGGGTGGTTGGGTGGTTGGGTGGTGGGGTGGTGGGGTGGTTGGGTGGTTGGGTGGTTGGGTGGTTGGGTGGTTGGGTGTGGTTCGGAGTTGGTTTAGGCTTGGTGGGTTGGTTTAGGGTTGGTTCAGGGTTGGTTCAGGGTTGGTTTGCGGTGGGTTTCGGGTGGGTTTGGGTTTGGGTTGATTTAGGCTTAGGGTTGGGGTTAAGGAGGGGTTGCAGGGTGG